CTTTGTAGTCAGGACCTGTTTAGTTGGTGTCCAAATCCATTTCAGGCTGTGGCAGCCACGATGTTACTCAGGAGGACATGGTGGGATGAGGGTGGGGGATGGGAGCTGCAAGAGCCAAGCAAGTCCTTGGATCCCTCCACTTGCAAGAGATGAAGTCATCTGAGAGCGGTCAGGCTTCCTAGGATGGAGAAGCAGCCAGAGCCCCATCTAGTGACTCCATGGTCTGCTTTAGCTCTGCAGGCCTGCACCTTGCGAGAGGCCATTTGTAGTTGTTTTGAAACCTTTATGGAGCTCCCTTTTGTGAATTCCTTGTAGATTTTTGTCCATCTCTCCTGATGTGCTTACTTGTGCTCTCTTCCCATCATTGGGCAGTCCAGCTGCACACTCTCATTTTTCTGTTCTTGTCTCCATGGGGCACCGAAGTCTATAATCAGCAACCTCAGACCACTCAGGGTGCGAGGTATGCTATTGTGCTCCATCCCTGAAACTCCCACTTCCTCTTTTCTTCTCTGCACACAAATATATGCAGAATTTGTTACTTTGAAAAAATATTCTCTGAACTCTGCTAACTCCACTCATGATAGCTTCTCTCCTTCCTTCCACTGGTAAAATTCTTGGAAGAGTGTGTATTTGTGGACTATATTTTCTTGCCTCCCTCAGATCCTCACCAATGCCTTACATTGTAATTTGGCTTCAGGCCCCATTACAACTGAAAAAAAATCTGTCTCCAAAGTCGCCAAGTGAGCAATTTCTAGATCCGTTGTCTTTTCTCAATAAGTTTGATCATCTCTGCTTTTTGAAAGCTTATCTCCTAAAGCTTGAAAAATACTTTATTCTTGAACTTCTGATACTCCTTAGGGTTTTTTTGCTTCCTTTCTTGCTCCCTCCCAACTCCCCAGGTGCAGACATACCAGGGCTCAGCTGTTTGCTTTTAGTTATTTCTCTTTTGCTGCCTTCATTTTATTCAGTATCGTGGTATCAAAGGTTTTGGTCCAAATCTTCAATTTGTAACTTCCTCTTGAGCTTTGTTTCTCTATCTCCACTTATATGGTTGATATCTTCATTTGTATCTTTGACCATTTAAGTTCAACCTATATAACATTCATGTTTTGCACAAATTACACCTCCTGATATACTTAAATATATTTAAAGTCCTATCATTTTTCATTTCAGTTAATCTCAAAATACTTAAATAATTTTGAAATCTTTTCTTCTAATCTTCCATATTCCATTGGTCTTTCGTATTGCCTTGTATCTTTCCCTGCTTTTTCTTGGATTTTTATTCTGCCAGCCATAAGGCTTCCTTAATTCAACATCTAGGATACAGTAGTTACTTTCACAATGGTCTTCCAGATTCCAGTATCTTCCCTGTCTGTTACTGCCAAATCAATGGACTTCCAAATTAATAAATTAAATGCTAATTAAATTAATTAATTAACAGAAGTCAAGGCATCTTGCTGGTTGGCCTCATAACTCCATTACTCCACTTCAGATCTTGGGAGTAAAGCACTTTTATTTTTTGTTTCACTTGCAAATAAGCAGAATGAGGACTCTAGTGGCTGGGAATAGCTCCCTGTTGACTCCCTAGCTATTTCGCAGTTCTGAAAACCTCTGTGGAATGAAGCGTTTGCTGGAAGAAGTTTGGAAATGTAGTATCGCTTCTTTTTCAATCCTTTTGGGCTTGTCAGAATTGTATCAGGGGAAAGGGGGTATGATGAGACCATTAAAGCCTCTTTATAATCTCATCTCAACCTCTCAGTTCTCTTACTTCCTTGGCAGATAAACGTTGCCTTTTTCTGCCACAGATACACTATGAACATTTTTTTCTTTGATGCATTCTGTCCTTTGATTCCATGCCTCCAGGTATCCTGGCAAGCGTTACACTTTAAGCCCCAGATATTGCCGCATCTTCTCTGTGAAACTTCTTGTTTGTTTGTTTTGAGACAGGGTTTCACTGTGTAGTTCAGGGTGGTGATGACCTCACTGTGTAGCCCAGGCTGGCCTAATCTGTGAAGCTTTTCCAATAAACTCAATTTAGGGTAATTTCTCTTCTCTCTGACTTTCTCCAACAGGTATGCATAACATCTAATATGACAAACTAAACTTATATATTATCATTTTTGTCCTAATTTCCTATTCTGTATTGCCTTTGAGGGTGGTGGTTATCATCTGTTTTGAAGTCTCCAAACACCTTCCAAGTTTTTGGCTAAGAGTTGCTGCTCAGTGAAATTGCTGCTGATTACAGAAATACCATGCCATGGAGGGTGAATATCTGTGACTGGTGAACGGAAAACTCGTGAAGTTGGTGTTCTACTTGAGCTCATGAGAATCAGTGAACAGTCTTCTGTCCCCTTGGTGGTGGAGGACTCCCATGGTCCCAGAGGCATACAGAAAAACAGCAAAGACCCCAGATGAAGGAATGTGGCTTACAGAGAAAAGAGGAGCAGCTTGTTAAAATTCATCACCATGAGCAGAGTCAGTTAGCGAATTTAAAATACCTTTTTGGAGGATGCATCAGTAACTTTACCTTCCTATTCAAAGCACAGGAAAGAATTAATCTCTTAAGTACAGGGGAACAAAGCGTTTGGTAGAGCAAACCCATATTGGTAGATGTTTGAAGTTGTAAAAAGTAACTACCAAAATGAAACCAAACACATGAGAAGCAGCAATAGCAGTCATGCCCACCTCAGGAATCCACAACCTGATAACCATGAACAGAACCTTAATAAATGAAGAGTGTTGGAAGTCAATTTTAATCATCACATAAGCTTTTGGTTGGGTTAAATTAACTGTCATTTGGGAACCTCTACAAGTGCTGAAAGCTTGGATGCTGATCTTAGACACTTTTGCTTTATGTCCCCACTCAGATGAATTTCAGATGTGGAGCGTTTAATCTTGATCCTTCTTTGTAATCACTGCTTTCAAAGAAACTTCCTTTTCTTATCTTTTACTATTGGTTAAATAAAAATAGCAATAGATACAAGCTTCCCTGAGCAAATAGACCATACATCAATAAGCGAATACGTAGTCTAGGCCATTTTCCATGAGGCTCATGAAGTATTTCTAATTGAAATTTAACAAGCTGCCACCCAGCAAGCCCTAATCTTCAGCTGTAAAAGGGAAAATGAATGCTGTATGAGAGACATCGAAGCTTTTTAATTCAACTGGAAGAGAGGATGACTGCGGGTTGTGTGGTGTAATTTTTTAAATTGCCGACACGTCATTGTTTGTTATTTCACATTTATTAAAAACGTAAATACCACATTTAATGGAATAGCAATAAGTCTTTGTTCCAATTGGACAACTTAATTTGATTAATCATGGTAATACATGCTAGCTGGAGTTGGGCATATTTAATAAAACACTGGAATGAATTTCTTATGCTCACATTTCAAAGGAATTTTTAAAAAAGTACATTTATGTGCAATACCCAAGACTTTATTCACTTTTGATTTGCATGAGACAGTGCAGGAAGGATTAGTGGAGAATACATGTACCTTTCTGAGGAGACTAGTTGTTCAACACAGGTGTGGGCGTACTAGGCCTGCGCTATAACTTACTGAATAGGAAGGTAAAAATATTAGCAAGATCTTTCCTTGGTCTGGACTTTGAGTCATTTTTGCGTGTAATTTTTCTTTGGAGCTTAACAATCCTCTGTGAGAGCAGGTCAGACAGCCCATCCCCATTTTTCAGATGAGGAAACTTAAGCTTGGAGACATTGTTCTGCCTGAAATCAACAAAGATGGAGCCTAGGTCTTCTATTTGTCTCCAAATGTGTATCAGTGAGTCACAACTCACACAGACGATGCCTGTCCTGGCTCCTAACTTCCCTGTTCAGAGGACGGGGCGGGGGAAGCTGGCGGGGGAGAAGTCATGCCTGTGTTTTGCTGTCAGGGGCGGGCGGTGGGTTGAGCTAAAATCGCCCCTCCTGTTTCCCTCCACAGCTCAGGTGGGAAATGTGGCGCCCAGGGACCTCTGGCAACAGCGCAGCTGCGTGACTTTGCACAGATAAATTACTTGCCCACTCGGAGCTGAAAGCTAAAACGTGATTATTCATAAAGCGGATGCAAAGAGCTGCTAAAGGTGAATGGGATATAATCCAAATAAAAAACTTGGTGGTTTTTTCTTTTATCCAGAACAATCAACTGTAATTTAAAGTTCACCAGGGAATTCTGAGAACTCTGAAGAGCTAGCTTGACAAATTAAAAGAGAGAGAGAGAGACAGAGAGAGAGAGACAGAGACAGACACAAGTCCTAACGCACCCCCATAAATCTGTCTTCCTCTCCGCAGACTGGGGGCTGAGGGCCTCGCCTGCCTCTCCTGAGCTGCTGGGATGCTGAGCTCCAAGAGCCCCGGACTACGGGGAAATAGGCACTGAACGGTCGCTTAGCACACGGCAAAGTTCCAAAGTGGCTCTCCCCACCGGCCCCCTCTCCAGCATTTCAACCACCCCTAACCGGCTCTGGAAGCGTCAACTGCAGCTTTCCTGCAATTACAGAGAAGGCAGGTGCTTCCTGGCCGGCCGGTCCGCAAGACCCCTCGCCCGTGGCCCCACTTTCTGGGAAGCAGGGCCACTGCCTCCCGTCCCCGTGGACCCCATCCCCACGGCTTCACCGTGCCAGCCTCCAGGACGGCAAAGAGGAGGCGGCGCGGAGACTCCGAGCGCCGCCGCAGCGCCCCGCAGGCTCCCGCGAGCGCGGAGGAACAGGTGCCCTTGCCCCGACGCCGCCGCCC